CCCCAAAACCCCAAAACCCCAAAACCCCTCAAGCTAAAATAAATAATAATAACAAAAATTATTATCAATAGAAAATTGTGAGTATATTTATAGCTATATTCTCCTGAATATGTTCACTTTCATTTTTTCTTCATTCTTGTTGTTTTGATGTCATTCAGTGCCAGGGTTTGAATCCATAATCATATCTGTAGATGAGTTTAGATTTTTCTTGCTATCATTTACCATGATTCGACTAATTTATCTGCCATCTTACCATATTCCATATTCTTCCCTTCCATCAGATGATATCATTTTCCCCTATCCATGATAAAGTCCATTAAGCCAGTCTCCTTCATATTTCGATCCATTTTACTGCACCAATATTCCATATCCAGATCTCTAATCATTTTCATAATTGCCCTCATAAATCATTCCGTTTGGGTAGGTCATTTTTCCTCTACCATTCATATTGTTTTCCTTATAAAAACCCTCATGCTTTTTGCCATCAGGCCATTCATAAACACCCAAACCATCCATTAAGCTATCTCTCCAATCACCTGTGTAACATTAGTCGTTACACCAAACATATTTACCATACCCATGTATCTTTCCCTCATTAAATTCTCCTATGTAATACGAACCATCTGGCCATATTTTAACTCCTCTACCATGCTCCAAGTTATTTTGAAATTCTCCATCGTATATCAGTCCATATCTGCTTACAAAAAGACCTAATCCATTTTTCAAACCTTTGTAAAATGTTCCTTCATAATAATCTCCTAAATCAGACCAGTATCGTCCTTCTCCTGTTTAGAAATCATTCAAAAATTCCCCTTCATATTTTGATCCTGTTGGGAAAAATATTATTCCTGGTCCATGTTTCAATTATAATCTTTCAGTCATAAAGCCTATTAAATTTTAAATATTCTTTTAAGATTACCTGTAAATAAAGTTTTAGGTTCAATTTCAAGGCATTCCTCATATAGCAATCTCTCTCTGAACATTCTATCTGACCACTTTACCTTTAATTCTGTATACTTGTCATTCTACACTTAAACTTATAATTTGATTTAATGTTTTTTACATTCGTAAATCTATCTCTTATTGGAATATCGTTGAAACATCTATACCTGGTAAAGTTCAATTTCAAACGAGAATCAAGCATGAGATTCGAGTTAGAAGAGATCTCATTTAGCTTGGCAAAATTAGTCTTGACTTTCCTTAGATCGAAAAAAGACTACTTTTAATGTTTTAGGTCATTGTTACAGCAATTATTGCCACCCATTTAAAATATATATTTGTTGATATTATTAATTTGTATTTAAACTAAAAGAAATTGCTTAATTTAAGTTATTTTGAATTGAGGGGTTTTGGGGTTTTGGGGTTTTGGGG